ATCCATATTCAGCATATTGGCATCCACCCTTGTGAAGGGTATTTGACCCACCCATATGGAGAGTATTTTGACCTCCTTTCTGAAGGGTAATTCAGAGGTGGAAATAACTTTAAAATTGCTAGTGTACTCCGGAACAGTAGCACATGTAAAATCACTTGCCCTGATATTTTTCCACTATACCGGCCGTTTTCTTGTTGATTTTTTACAATAAACAACATAGTTAACATTGGAAAGTCAACTGGACACCGGTACAGTGTGATATACAAATTTGCTTGCCCGACAGAAAAAAAACACTGGACTCAGATGTCGGGCAATGGGTTATTTCCACCCCTGTAATTGACCAACACATGTGGAGGATATTTGACCCATACATGTACAGAGTATTTAACCCTTATTACTAGTGTTTAGGGCCCTTAATGCAATGATCCGGACAAGAGAATCAAGCATTCAGGCCCACTACCAGCAGATCCTTCAGCATCAGGACATAATCCTACACAGGCCACCAGGCTGCCTGGGCCTATAGTCACACTGCATCCATAATGGTAATATGCCCACATGTGGTCAATAATTAGATGCTTTTAGTTTACTGCGTATGATCTCTGTGGAACAATAATCCCTTTATTTACACAAGGTATTTGTTATGTTTTATTTCTTGTCAGCCGTGCATCCAATATGGGCACCTAGCTTGTATCATACCCTTGATAACTCATAATACATCTGATGGTTCAAAGGTCTTTGAGTGAGCAAGGTTTCAGTATACATGACACTCCCTGTGGAAGCCACTTAGGCAAAAGCTTGTAATGTGACTCAGTAAATGATAACAGTCTCTCTGCAGATAATATATGAGACCTTCCTACAGACATCATACGCTTCAGCCAGGGATGGTCTCCAGAGACAGGCCTGCATACCATCATTGCCTGATCCGTTCCATAAACAAGGATTACGTAGTCAGGTTCCTTGTAAGCCTGCTTGTGGAAATCATCAAGTGTGTTTGCTCATACAGCCATGGATAGGTCACCATGCTGGCTAAAGCAGTGAATTATTGAAGATGGGAGTAGATTAGAGTATATGTATTTGCGGGAGTGGTTACTTATGTTCTGTTGTGCAAGATATTGACAGACAGATGCTGCCTTGATCACAATATTTAGAGATGCAGGTTTTAGTAACAGTTTTAATCCTCTATATTTATTGTATACCTGTGAGACTGGTTAGGAGGCTTAACGGCACGGGGGACTTGGAGATTGAATAAGCTTGGTCCTCCCTCCACAGTTGTTTACCCCTTGTTGTCAGGATCAGATATTGTTTGTTTGAGTCACAGATCCAGAGAAATAGGCACCTTGCAACCATATTGAGAAAGCAAGTTTTGCTGTTACTGTCATTATGGTTCAAAAGTTATAAAATGTAGTTATTCAATTTGTTGTGACATATTGGATTATGACCCTGAAGACTTTAAGCCATTGACCATATTGAAACTTCTTAACATTTCTCAGTCACTTTATCAAAATGAAATGAAATTTGTGGTATGTGTAGTTAATAGTGAGACACTACCTGTATGACCTATTCCTTGCAAGATTCTATACTTTGACCTTGATTTGACCTTTGCATCCACATCATGCCCTTTAGTTCTTCCAAGATGCTTTTCTCCTTGCTGTATACATTGTGCTTTGAAACTACTGGATTAATGAAGCTTAAACTATGCGTTCTAGTTCCCACAGTTACATGGCACCTAAATTTGTTCAACTCTCAATATAGCCACCATGGCGGATTGAAAAATCTATACATGTCCATTACTTAGCTGACCCTGCTCAAATATCTTGTTCTGGAATTTTGTCTAAATGCATTTTTGACACTATAAATATCATTTTCTCTGAAATTGCCAGACCATGAAAACTCAACGTTTGTATGTTGTCTTTAGATCACATCACATTTTGTTTTCAATAATTTACTGTGTAAGTGTGCTTCGTGTGAAACTGGTGGAAGATTTTAGGGCTGATGAGAAACATATTCTCTCAGAAGGCTCACAGTTGAATAAATGTAACTGTCCTTTGTTTGTGCTATGTTATGTATAGTACATTAGATTTTTCAGATTTATAAACATTGTGGAGATGTAGTTAGTTTCATGATTTGTTAATAGCTTTTGTCTCAGTATTTATGCAGAAAATATTTTGAAATATGTGCTTTTGTTTATTGGCGGATTGTATTGATATATTAAATTGCCGACTTCATATGCAGTAGAGGTACAGAACTGAGTCTACCCTGTGTCTTTAAGAAGGCATATAAAATACCAGACAGACAGTTTTGTTGGTTGAAATAGACTACATGGACATGTTGAATGACTCTGAGAAGACTATATAGTAGAATATACTTAAGTATGGTGTTATCAGATGCTCCGTGGTAGACATCTGATCTTTCAGTACCGGAAACACTGCCTCAGTAAATGGGAGTGTACAGGCAGTAGCGCCATTCTCTGCCCAATCACCCTGTCAGCATCCAAGCTTAGGTTGCGAGTAGTACACCAGCAGTGCCAGTGATTCTGTAGGGTCAAGTATTAACCAAAGATGGCACTGGTGGGGCAAGAATTGTGATGCGATACATAATCCAACACAAGTAAAATATTTGAGATTTCATTTATGCTGGAAAAATATGTCAAAATTTATTTGTTTGAAAAAATGTATAAAGAATTTCTTGATTTAAACTGTTGTTTGGAACCCAGTTTCTTTTATTCTGATAAAAAAAACTTCCACCTTTACAAGTTCAATATGTATTATATTTCCATAAAGTTTGAAAAACATCTGGGGCAGTGGGGTAGCCTTACTTAGTGGTTTAAGTGTTTGCTCATCACGCTGAAGACCCGGGTTCGATTCCCAACATGGGTACAATGTGTGAAGCCTATTTCTGGTATCCCCCACTATGATATTGCTGGAATATTGCTAAAAGCGGTGTAAAACTAAACTCACTCACTCACTCAATTTAAAAACATCTGGCTCAACCAGCTTCTAGTAAGAAGTCAAATAACCAGGATGCATTCTGGGTTAAAGCCAATAGCTGGGTACAAAGTATTAACCCTGTTGTTGCTGTACCTTTATCTATCATAATATAATGCTGGAGTGTTGCATAAAAACCCTGCTAAAGCTGAGTGAAACTGATGACCTGTGAAGATCTGGGATAGAGTGGTTCTTCAGGAACCCTTGCTAGTGGTACGAGGCGACTAACAGGATCGGGTGGTCAGACTTGCTGTCAAGGTCAATGCAAGTCATCGTATCCCAACTGCGTAGATTGATGCTCATGTGGTCAATGCAATAACTGGATTGCCTGGTTCAGATTTGATTATTTACAGCTGGAACATTGCTAAGTGTGATGTGAAATGGAATTTACCAATATAACTTGAGTATTTTATAGTGTTCATTTTAAAAAATGATCAAATAATTGCATTTCATATATTATATCTCAAGTCTTCAAGAGACAATAGTGAGTGAGTCTAGTTTTACGCCACTTTTAGCAATATTCCAGCAATATCACAGTGAGGGACACCAGAAATGGGCTTCACACATTGTGCCCATGTGGGGAATCGAACCCAGGTCAAGAGACAATAGACAAGGTTCATGACATACTGAGTATTCACTGGTTCAGTATGTCCTGGGTTCCTACAACAGCCATTAGATGAGATTTATGTGAGGATCAGTTGTGAGCCGTGTGTCATTGTAGCCATATGGTGCTTTAGACCTGATGGCCACACCTACTTACTACCATATTGAGAAGAGGTGAGGTGAAATTGGGTTTAACGTCGTGCTTGAGAATATTTCGCTCATATGACGACGTGCATGCGTGTGTAAGTGTATGTGAGGCTGCTTGTACTAGCCCAGTCTATCAGCTGGTTTTATAGTGCTAGCCCACTGAGATACCATGCCGCAGTGAAGCATGAATACCCCACTCAGACACATTATACTGACTCCGAGCCGACCAGTCCTTGTTGTAGCCATTAATGCCGAGCGCCAGGCAGGGACCAACAGGTACCATATTTTAACGTCTTTTGGTATGACGCAGTCGGGGATCGAACCCACGACCTTCCGCTCTCCGGGTGGAAGCTCTAACCATTACACCACGGAGGCGGTCTATTGAGAAGAGAAGAGATGCATCACACATGCTTGTACATGGAAAATAGTCTTAGTTGGGTTATGCCTCAAGATAGCCATTGCTTCAGAATTGGTAATTGATAGTAATTAAGTTGTTTCAAGAAAAAATTAATGCATTAACTCTTACCTACAGTTTAACACCTTTTGATTTATCTCCTGTGCTACAGATAGATAGGCATATTGTATTGATGAAATCTGGACAAATTCAGATGGTTTGGAAAAATAACAATAGGTTGTGTTAGAAATAATAAACCAACCTTTGCGGTACCCTGGAATAAAATTTAACCTTGCAGCTCACAGATCTGTGAGTTGTAACATAACCATTCTGTAACCAAGATCCCTTTACTTTCATTCTTTAGGCCAGACCAATCTTATTTCTTGTTTTACGGATCCGATGGTCATATTTTTTCAAGATTAAGAAAACAAAATTAATTAATTTTCTCTGCTCAAGAAATAAAATTTTAATATTTCTGTTGACCAAAAATGTAAATGTGCAAGATAATGTTTTTAGATTGTTTTTCCCCCCCATATATACTTCATAAATTGTCAAAAGTAAAATACTTTTAGTATTTACAAGGAATATTACTTTGACTGGTGATTTATGTTTTTTTTGTTTTTTTTCCCTCCTGCCTTTAGGATTTCTGTGGACAAAAATCTGTAAAACAAGAAATAAAATTGGTCTTGCCTTACTTTGAACTCGGTTTACAATAAAGCAGAGGGCACCTGCTGCAGATCTTTTAAAGCATGGTATCTGTTTTCTGGGTCTTCACAAGTACTTTAATGTCAGTAATTGAGGCAAAAGTAGCCATCTTCATCGTAACAGTCACACTGTGGCTACTTCTTACTAATGGTGTTTTGTTTATTCAGATCAGCGAGATGAGAATGGGGATGACACCAGCAGCAACAGCGAGTCTGATACAGACATTTCCTCAGAAGGGTGTGGGTCACCACGTATGCAGAGAAAACGCCGACAAAAACATTTCCGTGCTGAAAAAGTTGACAGGAGCATCACCTTCCGAACCCTGGACGAACTGCTGTATAATGACAATTTGCCGGAGGTATGTATATCTTGTTACTGATGGTCATGACAGAATCTTTAATGAGCTTAGCCAGGCATTAAGAGACTGAGAAACAGGTCGCCATCAGATAGAACATTGTAATTCAGAGGGCTTTCAATTATCACCAGGCACGACTTTGTATGGATAATTACCTTCACAACCTGATTGTGAAATTTTGCATTTAGATGTGTTCTAGTAATGGGATTTGGGTACTTTAATGATGAAACTTATGTATTACAGTTAGTAGCCAGAGATTTCAATTTTGTTTAGCACAGTATATTTAACTGTGAGAATTTGGTGCCATACTAGGTAAACCTTTGTTGCTTGGCACGTCACAATTTCTTTAGGAATCAGGAGGAAATTCCGAGGAATCAGGTTCTACTTACAGTTTACCTCACCTGCAAGAACAGGGATGGTGGGGTAGCCTAGTGGTTAAAGCATTCACTCGTCACACCAAAGGCCCAAGTTCGATTCCCCACATGGGTACAATGTGTGAAGCCCATTTCTGGTGTCCCCTCTGTGATATTGCTGGAATATTGCTAAAAGCGGCGTACAACCATACTCACTCACTCACTCTGTCAGGACAGGTTTGGGGGCACAGGTGGCACAGTCTTCTAAGGTGACTCAATTCATTGACTTGATTATGGATTTGAATCATGTATTGCCTTGATTTTGTGTCACCATATCCATGTTTGTGGGTTGAACCAAAGTGGTTATCATTTACAACCTGCGCTACTTTGGGATTTTCTGCCACATACTGGATAAAATCTGTACTGTTCAAAGCGACCTTCCAATTACTTTATCCGTACAGTTTCTCCTTTCAATCACAGTTAGAAGAGCGGCCATACTCAATGTGCCCTCATTCGGGGTCAGGATATGTCACCGAGTGAGTGAGTGCTTTAAACCGCAGTTAGCAATATTCCAGTAATATCACAGCCACGGACACCAAAAATAGCCTTCATGCATTGTATGCGGGGAATCAAAACCAGGTCTTCGGCATGAAGAGCAAACCTGTTAACCGCTAGGCTACCCCACCACCTTGTAGTACCTCATGCTTGTCAAAAGAACCAATTAACAATAGTATCAGATGTGGATCAAGGTATGCATACTACCTAAATCACTTTAGAAAAGGATGATGGTGGAACTGACAGGTTGAGATCAGGTCACAGAAAAAGGAGCAAATCCTGAATCCTTCTGGGCATGCCTTTGTATGGGTCTATCTGTTGATTAGATTCTGTGTTCTGGCGATTGTGTCATGGAATCCTTGGGCCACCTGCACTACTAAGATCATCGGTCCTATTCTATAACATAGACTTACGATAGTCGCAGCAGCACTAAGATGACTTTGTGCAAGTGGGTCCTGACTGTGATACAGCAAGGTCAGCCTTTCCATCAAGTGGTCATAGTGCTACATCGGCCATGTTAAAGTATGGGTGTCTTAGCACTGACATTACTTTGTTGACCAGGGCCAAGATTTTCGAAGCTCTCTTAGAGCTAAGATAGTCGTAGGTGCCATACATTAACATTAACTTAGAGCTATCTTAGCGTTAAGAGAGCTTCAAAAATCTAGGCCCAGGGTCCCGTTTCACAAAGCTATGTTAGAGCTACGACTGTCGTAACGCCTACCGGTACACTTTAAGATAGACTTATGACAGTCGAAGAGCTATGATCGTTTGTGAAACGTGACCCAGGGCCTAGATTTTCGAAGCTCTCTTACCGCTACGATAGTCGTTAGTGCCATACATTAACATTAACTTACGACTATCTTAGAGCTAAGAGATCTTCGAAAATCTAGGCCCAGGGCCCTAACCAAGATTTGTAATCATAATGACTTTCTTGAGACAACTGAAAAATGTGAGTTGAACCACCAGAACGCACTTTAGCCATGTGAATAGAACTGAAAACATATACTTAGACAGAATAGGAAACACAAAGGATAATTGGTCTGCCTGTAATGTCTGTGGCAATAAAAGAACAGATATACCAGAACTGTTAGCTTACACCTTGTGTCACATACATATTGTCACAACATCACCAGACACAAGTTTGAAAGATTAGGAATGCAAGAGGCAACATGAGTTAACGTTTATCTTTGACCAACAGACGGAGGGGTTGCCCTTATATAAGTTGTCTAAGATGATTATGAGACTGGTAGATATGGCGTCTAACTGGGGTCTATTTACCTGCTTTGAATCAGAAATAACATAAGTACCCAAAGCCCTCATAGACTATGTAAGAAAATATAGATTTTTGATTGCTTCTTATCAAATGCACCAGCATCCACTATCTTTTTTTTTGCAAAACACATTGATCAAGGAATAAACAGTCTCTTTTGGGGGGATAAAATTACTTGTTTATATACAAATCCAGGGAAGTCTTTTTCATCCTGTGATATAATGCAAGTGATAAGAGCCCATTACAGATGACAAGGGTTGTGCTCCCTGATGATGCGATAAAGACATATCTTTGACGCTTGATTACTTGGTGGTCTTCCAAACTGCCCACGAGACCAGAGAACCGCTGTAATTACAATCTCATAATTCAAAATCCATTTTGGGGGAGAATTCTGTAATATTCAGCCAGGCTTTGGAGGAGATTGGTCAGTCAGTGTTTCTGGTGTGTGACAAAATAATCTACGTGATGGTGTTCCCTTGGGGAAACACTCTTCTGATAGGTCAGCCTGTCTGTTGTATGGCTCACAGGGCTTGCTTGCATCAGTGATGACGAACGAAAGCCTGTTTAGCCATTCCCAAACCAGCCCAAGCGGAGACATATTACTTCTTTTCATATTTTTTTCATAGAAGCAGCTTCTGTAGAGTTGACCCTGATTTGATTGCTCTGAGCTGTGACTTCCATCTTGCTTAGTAGTCTTCTTCAGAGACTGATCTTCAGTATGTGTGCAAGATCTTTGCAGTTTATCAATCTTTGCGGTTAATTAGGATATAAGGCGGACATTTTACATCATCTGTTTCAAGTGTGTTAATGAATTTTGAGAGTAACTGACGAGGATTGCATCATGAATAATTCTTCACACGCAGAAATGATCATGCGGACACACAAAATAATTGTCCATGAGGGAATTTCTGTGGTTCCTTCAAGCACATGTGGTAATGTTTGATTATTTTAGCTCATTGTGGATTCTGAGTCAGAATTAGATGCCAACACCTCAGACTTAAAGACTTAAAAAAAACACTTCAAAATTCAACGCAGCTGGAGAAGATAATAAATCGACAGATTCATCTAATTCTGTGTTTCAAGTTGGTTGTACCTCTGTGTTGTAAAAATAGCCGAAACGACAACCTTAACCTGTCTGGTGAAACAGGACAGGAATGAGGGAGTAGCCTTGTTGTTCAAACTGGCAACCTATTCTTCTGGAGACAATATTCTCAGGCCTAAAATAAATAAATTTTGTGGTTCCGATTACCCATCCGACCCTTGAATTCTGGTGCCGACCCTATTTTTTTTAAGAGGTATGAGTAAAATAAGCTTCAGATACCATTGTTTTTTCCTGGCACCAACAGACATCGGTCATTCTGACAGAGAAAGTCAACATGTTGGCCGCAAGCTTGATTGAATAAACAATTACACATTGAAAAATGTGTTATTAGTTCGTACTTTACTTATAAAATAAAAATGTAAATAATAAAATTCCTACCTACCTACCCTAAATTTTGAAGAGGTGTAATCTGAACCACAACATTTTTTTTTATTTGGCTTCAAATGTTTAATTTTACTAACATTTTGTGATATTGTATATGGCAGCCTCTCTCAGTTGCGACTGTCATGTCTTTATCAAGCCAAACCTTTGGTCCCAAAGATGTCCTTACAAAAGTATCATCTAATTTGTACATATATCTCTAACTTTGAAATGTATTTTCACTCAGGCTGTTACGATTCACACTCATATTCGGTTGCCCTTTGTGAATTTCAGTTTGTTGTTTGCAATCATAAGAATGTAATATTCACCAATTTGTTTTTAAGAAAGACTATTTTTACTTAAACTTGTCTGTTATATACCAAAGCACAATAAGTGAAATATATCAAAGCCAAGCTGGACAATAATCAATGCTTAATTTGACAGTAATGTGGTCACTGGTCATCGTCATGATAAATTATCACTGTCAACAAGGTCAAAATATGTCAGATAATTTACTTTGTTATTGTTTCACTAAATAGGGGCAGTGGGGTAGCCAAGTGGTTAAAGCATCTGCTTGCCATGCCAAAGACCTGGGTTCAGTACCCCACATGGGTACAATATGTGAAGCCCATTTCTGGTGTCCTCTGTCGTGAAATTGCTGGAATATTGCTAAAAGCGGCGTAAAATTGCACTCACTCACTCACTTGACTGAATATAGTTTATGATACATCAACTGCTTACTTGTACTTGTGAACACAAATCATACAGGTTACCTTATATTCATTCGTAACATGTTCAGCTCATAGTGGATTCATTGCATTAATAATATTCTCACAAGATCACAAACCTAGAAATGGGTGTCTGTACACTGAAGGACTGTACAGTTTGTTTTGGTTTTACATTTATATATTTTTTCAATTTATTCATAATGGTCTTTCTGTGATCAATGGTTTTAACAATATCAGTGTTTCTTTCACTATGAGTAATTGCTAAGTGTGTGTTTTATAATAAGGCAGATTCCTGAAATAGACATGGATTGGATAACTCTGTTTGAAGTGTTATGAAGAGTTATGTTCTATTAACTCAGAGATAATTTGCTTTGATCTCACTTTTTATTTAGAAACATGCTCATCACCAGCCTTGGAGAGAACAGTAAAACTCAAGAACAAGAAGGATAATGGTCACACATGTGTATCTGTATACTGAATATCACCCAACATGTCAAAGATACCTGTATATCATAATAGAAAATGTGCTGCACTCTAATTACACCCTAATTACACCAAATTTAAATGTAATTTCTTGCCACAATGTTATAATGCAGGTAGATGACAATCATTTGAACCTGGTTTACGTTTCTGTC